AATGACTGGCGTCTGCATGGAGTTAACCATGGTCGAGGTATTCCATGCAGTGGTGCACACTCTCTTAAAGAAGTCGGTGATGATTTACTGAAAAGAGGTTGACTTCTTCCGAACTTTGCTCTCTCGAGTAATGAGTGGAGAGACGATCGTATGAACTTGAAGGGTGGTGTTGCTTTCCCCGTCCAAAAGGTTGAGCAATCACATCATTGGTGCGGGGACAGCTTTCGATGCGCAAAAGCAGTTTGCTGCAAACGTAGAGGATGCTATTTCGTCACCCGTTGACCTACCTTCGGCTATCAGGCGATACCAAGATGTAATACAGTATGCTGAATCTAAAGTAGACCATGTTTTCGGAATAGGTCCAAGAAACATGCAACTTAAGCTTGGTCAAGTGGTAGGTTATAATAATATAATTGTGGTTACTACCGATAAACAAACACAAGGTATTAATTCAGATCTTAACACTGTATTAATAACGCAACCAAACACAGGTGAAACAGGAACAGTCAAGCCACAGTCATCTACGTAATTAAACCAAAAAACATAAGTGCAACAGCCCGGCAATTGCTACTATCACTGCCCACAAGTTTTGACGAAGCCAAGTGGCGGTCTTGGCTAAAATATTTAAGATCCAGGATACAATACTCCCTATTATACCAGGAAGGGCAGACGCGGCTTTCCCAGCGAGCTTTGCTAGTGCTTCTCCTAATGCCTTTAAATGCTTTTTTATCCACTCTTTTCCTCCATCCTTATCACTAGGGGGTGTGCCACTCCTGTACCAGCAAACACAAGAGCCAAAGTTGATATAATAAATCCCAATGCGGTTAAAATACTGGTAATGGTTATCCCCTGTTCTTTGAACAATGTTTTAATTCTTTTGGCCAGTGTAGTATCATCATTGAGGACTTAATGAATATGCTCTAATTCGGCGGATTTGTGAACGAAGTGCTTCTCTATTAGTGGAAGCTGATTCCAAGCAGGCTGGTCTTTCATCTTCTGATGGATAAGACAAAATATACTGAACAACAAAAGTTCCTGTGACATTGAATAAAATTTAATGCAAAGTAATGTTTTTTTACCAAATCTGAAACAATTTCGGTTTGCAACAGATAAAAGACTCATGTAAGTGTTCAAATGGTTTAATTTACCATACTGACTTCATAAAAAAAAAAAAAACATGAACATGCCCAAATGTCAATTTACAAATCAATAGCGTGTATGTCCACCTCTGGTTGCGATGCAAGCAACACATCTTCGTCTCATGGAATGGACTAGGTCTCGCACAAAGTCCTCTGGGATATCTGTCCATATCTGCTAGAGCATGTTTCGAAGTTCCTGGAGTGTCTGTGGAACACGTGGTTGACGTCGAAGGCGCCGATCCATCTCATCCCTGATGTGCTCGATTGGTGAGAGATCAGGGGACCGAGCCGGCCAGGGGATGACATTCACGTTGATTTGTTGAAGAGAATCCTGAACAAGTTGAGCAATATGAGGCCGGGCGTTGTCATGTTGAAAGGTAATGCCTGGGCCTGACTACGCAAAAACGGTAGAACAACAGGGCCGATGATCTCGTCGCGGTAGCGCTGTCCATTGAGATTTCCCTCTACCACTATCAAACGGGTCCTCTGTCTTGCTGTAATCCTACCCCATACCATAAAGCTGCTGTCCCCAAACCGATCTTCTTCCATGACACAATGATTGACGTAACGTTCACCTCGACGTCGGTACACTCGAATCCGTCCATCTCTGTGGCTGAGTTGAAAACGAGACTCGTCAGTGAATAGAACTTGTCCCCACTGCATTGCCGTCCAGCGTAGACGCTGTTTGAACCACTGTAGACGTGCTTGACAGTGGTTTCCTGTCAACATGGGACGTCTGGTGGGCCTTCTGGCGACAATCCCTGCATATCTAAGGCGACGACGTACGGTTTGTGAAGATATTGATCGAAGGCCAGGGATGCTTCATGCAGTCACTGTTGCTGGCTGGAATCGATTTCATAGGTGTGTTGTTCGAATCCAGTTGTCTTGTCGATCATTGGTTACGCGTGGCCTGCCACTCCGAGGATAGTCTCTGACTGCATTCGTCTATTGCCAACGTTGCCATAAACACCAAATGGTGTTTCTGTTGACGTTAACTTGTCTTGCAACATCACTTTGACTCGATCCTGCTTCAAGCATACCAATTGTTCGCAGACGCTCATTTTCCGACAGGCGTTTCGTAATGTTGAATAATTGCGTAATTTTGGTTGTTGTCAGCACGATGCTAAACAATGCATATGGAATCCCGTTAACGCACATGTTTTTATACCCATTCTTGGGTAGTGAAATGCATGGGGCTTGCATAAAAGTCAACTTTTGCATGGAATGCATGCTTTTCTGTAGCGTTTTTGTGACTTGATTCCATACATGTACTACATTATTGAAAACCAAACTTTACTTGTTTGAAAAATACACTACAATATTGGTGTCACAGGAACTTTTGTTGTTGAGTATATATAGTCAACTATAAAATTCTCCAGTTATATCATTAGGCATGAAACTAAAGAAAATAAACTTAAGTTTGATCAAAGACCTTGGATGGAGCCCTATATAAGAGTGAACATAGGTTTAAGAAAGATGGCTACGAGCGATTTTGAAAAGAACCTATGTAAGCTCATGAATAACTCAGTATTTGGTAAAACTATGGAGAATCTAAGGAAGCGTGTTGATGTAAAATTGGTCAGATCTAATGAGGAAGAAAGACTTAGGAAACTTATAGCTAGTCCAGCTTTTAACAAAAGAAAGATATTTGATAATGACTTAGCGGCATTACATATGTGGAAGATTAATATAAAATTTAACAAAGTCTACTTTGGTATGAGTATTCATGACTTGTCAAAACACTCAATGTATGACTTATATTTCAATGAACTTAAGAAGCAATACAGTGATAGATGTCAAGTGTTATATATCGATACAGATTCTTGATTAATGGAAATACAAACCGAGGATGTATTTAAAGATATGGCAGAAAAAATAGATATGTACCACACGAGCGATTATCCAAAAGATAATCCATTACACAGCACATTAAATAAAAAAAGGTTTCGGTAAAAGGAAGGATGAATATGCTGGAACTCCTATTGCGGAGTATGTTGGATTAAGACCTAAGATTCTATAAAGAAGTCTCATATTGAGGAGATAAGAAAAGCTAAAGGTGTTAAGAAGTATGTGGTAAAAAGCATATCAAACACGAACATAATAAAGAATTATTATTTAGTGGTAGACCATTCAATCACGAGATGAATACTTTAAGAAGTGACAATCACAAGATATATTGATTAAGAATGAACAAGACATCCTTATCCCCCTTAGATACAAAGAGATGGATTGATAAGGATGGTGTAACTACCTATGCTTATGGTTACTTTGGGCGGTAATACTGTATCGCGGGGGACTATGAACAACTCTTCTCGTACAAATACTCTGCCCGGTCCATCTGTAAGGTAATATAGAAATGGCTCACCTTCTTTCATAACCAATCGACTAATGTTTTATTTCTTAAGATACCAAATTGGATCAGTTGCACGGCGTTGGCCTCCTTTGAGTTCACCGGGCAGGTATAAATATCTTATGCTTACTCTATCGGGAAGTTTTTGATCTTTGCCTCTCCATGTACTGAAGTTTCGGAAATCTTCCCAATTAATCTTGTTACTTCATTATTCAGCGCTGATACAACAGCTGATAATCGTGACACCCATTCCGTTGATCTTAATCGATCTGATTTCATTTCAATCCCATACTGATATCCAAACAAACATGCTGCTAATGTCCGGTTAAATCTTTCAACAATAGCTTGGCTACAGTGGGCCTCTTTTTTCGCCACGCCTGATTGCGACATCGTGCTTTGTTAATAGTTTAGTTACTGATCCCATAAACTCGCGACCAGGATCTACTTGAAACAACTTATGGCCATTTTAATGGTCCACGTTTATATATGAGGCCTAGTGCATTAGCTACTTCTGTTGAATCTTTGGAGGTTAATGGTTCAGTCTCCTTGTACCAACAAGCTACATCTACTATGGTAAAAGCATATTTATATGTTTTGCGTCCTACCTTATCATGAGGAAGAAACAAGAGGTCAGCCTTGGGAACTTCATTAGTTGTGAAAATATCAAATATTTTTCCTTGACATATAATGCGGGGCCAGTAAGTATATTTGCCATATTGCTTGGTTCTTTAACCAATCCTTGGCAACATCTTTAGATATCTTAGCCGCTGCAGCTAGTTTTTGTATTGCCAATATACTTTTCCAAAATCCTTGCTGGCTATAGTAAATTTGTTCCATTATTAATTAATATTGAGGTTTCTTTAATACAATCATGACGATCTTTGGACGCATTATTTGCATAAAAATGACCTCTGTAGTTGCATTGTTGTGGTATGAATTCGTCTAGGTGGCAGTGCGGCAGAACCCCCATTCCCTATACTACTTGCGGAAAGCACAAGTTTTCCGTGAAGACCTTGTAAATAATTTGGACATGGGAGTTTCTGATAGTTAGTTAGACATTTCAGTTTGGACAGTGTAAGACGTGACTCTCACACAAGAGTACAACTTACATTATAGTGTCATTACAGGGCGTTATTCAGAATATTAGACATATAATGGTGCAATGACAGGGTAATGTTATATTGTACAATGTCTGAATGTCTGTAATCATCGTGCAACGTGCACGTGTCAAAAGTGTGATGGAACAGCAGTGCATACTATAAAAAGTTGTGGTTAATAAACGGTCAGAATTTTCACTGTTGTTTTTTGTTTCGTTCGTTATTTTAGATATTTCTTAATATCACAACACATTCCTAATGATGTATCGAAAGTATGCCAATTCATGCTATATTGAAGAACACTGTCAATAGGGAAATATTGTTTTCAGATACCATTGACAGTGTAGATATCACAAGTAGGTCGTGAACCTATCTTTCAGATTCCCCTTGTCTAGGAGGTGGTGGAACCCTCACTTGGATATTCTCCGACTCTACATATCTCCGAAGTCCATAACAGTCAAGTAGTTCTGTGTCCGGAACTCCATAGTTGCCGATGATTGGGTAGGTAAGTGTTAGAATCTGACCTCTGTAACTTGGATCAGTCAGTGCTTCGGGATATCTGAATCAACATATCGACAAGTAGCATTTAGAAGATTTCAGTGTCAAAGAAGACAGGATTAAAAGTATTTCAACTTCGTTATTTGTTCAGTTCAGGTGCGTTTTCAATCAAATGGTTAAAATATACTAGCGCCTGTACCATAAACTGGCATTCAAACAATATCGGCCACAAGTCAATCCTGTCTTCATTGAATAACCATAGACACAATAGACTTATAATTTAAAACAGTGTATTGTGCCAACGTTCCTGGTGGTAAGGTTGTTGCAATAACATGGGGAAAACAAATAATCTTAAATGTTAAAATCAAGCAACGTTTGGTACCTCTGTTACAAGATGTTTGCTTCATAAATCAATCAGTGGCGGTTCAACCGAATGGTCTTGTTCAACTATTGCATTCAACTATCAACGTCATTGGGGTTTTGTGTTATTACCTGCATGCCATGTCACTCACTGATTCATGCATACATCTACTTGGACTGTCGTGGTCGCAAATTTTAAAATCGAATCGCAAATTTGTGGCTAAATTTCAATAACACCATTTAATCGATAGACAAATAATTTCACCTTCATATATACAGTTGTTTTGGAATATATCTGCAATTACATGTGTTACTTATAATATGATTTAAAATCAAAATCAGATAGTCTTTTGGCGCCAAATTAATAAAACTGATGTTGGAGTCTTCTTAAGAAACGCAGCAACGACAAATTTCTCGCGATCGGTTGCTAGAAACGTAGTCTGTCAGCAACTGTTCACTGTCCAAGTACAACTGAAGTACAACTGAAGCACAACTGAATAAGAAATAAAAGCGTAAAACCATTTCGATAATTAAAGACTTATCTGCTAAAAGCAGAGCCCGTTGTACAATTCCGAGCCCGTTGTACAATTCCGATTATATCATGAGCATGTGTTCACTATCAATTAGAATATATTACCTGATGTTCGCGAAAAAGTGATTACATCCTGCCCCACCGGTGCTACCAACGTAGGAGATTCGCAGTTGGCTCCAGGAATCCCAGGGCCCCACCTCTCAAGTTGGGTATGATACCAACATCATGATGTGTTACAATGACTGTCCAAAACTGTTTTATACGACAAGGTCATTTGCGGCAGAGGTGTACAAAATCATCCTCTACAACAGCATCGGTACCAGAATTATGAAGGATATCTTATCAGACATTGCGGAACCGCATTCGCGAGATAGGCCACAGAGCCAGGCGGTCTGTCAGAGGTGTTGCTTTGACGCAACAACATTGTCAACTGCAACGCCAGTAGTGTCATAACACCAGAATATTCAATATGGACAAACAAGCGATGGGGAACTGTTTGGTCCATCTAGGAGTTAAGGTTTATGGAAGAGCTATTATGTATCGATGTTGTTATGGACGTCATGTCGCCAACTGCATACGGGGATCGGAGGGTAGACAAATTTGAAGGTAGCAGAGTAATGATGCGGGCGAAAAAACTCCATAGGTGTCGGAACAAACTGGGTGCATGTGCAAGACAACTTCACAACCCAGGCCATTATTGAGATACCATACAGCACCTCGTTGTTCACATTATACACCATCCTAACGTCATCACGAAAATGCCAGACCACATAAAACACGTGTAACAGCAGCATGCCTACGGAACAATGAGTATGTACAGCTCTTCCCGTGGCCCTCAAAATTGACAGATCTGAACCAGAAAGAACACATGGAACGAAATGGATCGCACCTTACTTGTGCACTACAGGCGAGTGTGCGAACATTCCCAAAGGTGTGGTCCGTATTGTCATTACGTCCATGTGTGAAGGAGGTGTCAGGCAATACTTAACGCTAGTAGTGGACGCTAATGGAATATTTAGTTCTCGTGACTTAACGCTAATAGTGGACGCTAATGGAATATTTAGTTCTCGTGACCTTGACCTTTGCCAGTTGTAAATCTTCAGATTGAACACGCGTTTATCGTTGTCCTGTTGCCAGTAACGCATCACTCATCGGGTGCTCAGATAAACAGTGAATGTGTGTCCTTCGTACACCAGAAATCTGGTTATGCGTTTCTTTTGGGGATAACTATGTTTTAAACTAATCTGAAAGATGATCTAGGATTTGTGACTAATCTGTTTCATAACAAAAGACCCATAATCGGTATTAAAACCATGAATACTTGTTGAGATGGTGTAACCAAAAGCTGCAATGGTCATCATGCTTTTAGACGCCTTGAACTTCTTATGATAAATCATATGTAACTACATATGATCTTTTTAATTCACTTATAATGAATCTTGACAGGGTTCTTTTGTTGTGAAGATTCTTTAATAAAAGGAAACCCCTATTTTGTGCAACATCCTCTTCAGCTACAAAGTTGACGTTGCCGTGTACATTTCATTCACAATATGTTTCAGTTGTCTACGTTTTGTGGGTTTTTAGAATCAGATGAAATAATAGAACAAATTATGGTGAGTTTTATAGTGTTGTTATTTTCAATTACGCCTGAGTAGTCGAGATAGTTTTGAAAAATGATTCAGAAATTACAGAGAAAAATATTTTATCTTAGGATGCTTCTTTCGCTTACCCGACGAGTCCAGTGTTGAAAACAACCTCCCCTGATGCAGGGCTCTCATAACCAAATGAGTAACCTTGGAAGCGGCTGCCATTTTGGAGCACTAGATTGGCTTTTTTGGGCTGAAAAGGATGAAGAAGAACTGAATCCTCAGAGTTGACATGTTCGTAGATCCTAGCACAACCTAACAGCGTACCTTGTCCCTTATTGTGGACGGGTTTAAGGGCTAAACATGTTTAAAAGGATCGTATCTAACGTCTAAACTTGTTTATGGTTTAAACGTGGGAAAGACCCGTAACAAACACCCTGTATGAAGATACTTGTACGTTGTAAGTTTTACTGTTTTTGTTTGACAGAAGATATGGTAGATATACATCCAAAGGGCCAGGTGGGTGAATATTCAATTCTTATTTCGTTATTTACAGGGCAAGTAACATAAATTTCTTCTTCTTCAAGTTCCAGACAAGGCAAATCCTTCGAGACTTTTCAATATTTTTTCACTTTTAGTTCACTTAGGCAAAGTCTAAAACATGAGGTTATTGCGGAGATGTTTGAATTTTAAATTTGAAAGATCCCATTCCGGTTCTAGGAGAGATTTGATATCACGATATGTGTCGCATCTTAAACTTTCTGAAAGTATAGCATGTATATCTTGTCGGAACATATCTATAGCACGATTTCGAAATTGTTGTAAGATATATTGATCTCACCAATAGATTGCCAGGTCCCTATTAATCAAATGACATGATAAAAAGGAACATCCATGTGTTCTTCCCAAAATTATCATGATATATATAAGCATATTATAAGCTTTCTTTAACAAACTATGTTCAGGCATACATTGCGCAGGCATCGAGTATAAGATTTTATATATAAAGGAGACCTTCCACAATCAGTTTAAAGAAAATGTTAGGTGATCTGAGTCTTCAATCTTGGGCATTTACATATATTACAGATATCCCCTGCCCGTTTGTCGTGAAAGGATATTGGGATGTATAGTATACATGTTTAAGATTGTATTGAACAGCTAAACGTGTTTAGGTTCTATGCTTGCCAAAGGTCCGTAACACTCCCTTTGACAATATAAACACCGACTGTAGAACACAGACACGTGTCCCAGCTGTTGAACACTCTCCTTGACACATAAACACCGACTGTAGACTACAGACACATATCCCAGCTGTTGAACACTCTGCTTCACACATAAACACCGACTGTAGACTACAGACACGTGTCCCCGACTGTAGACTAAAGACACCTGTCCCAGCTGTTGAACACTCTCCTTGACACATTAACACCGACTGTAGACTACAGATACGTGACACAGGTTTTCACAGGTTTTCATAACCTCACTGACACATAAACATCGACTGTAGATTAGACACGTGTCACAACTGTTGAACACTCTCCTTGACACATAAACAGCGTCTCCTATAGACTACAGACACGTTTCCCTGACTGCAGACTACAGACACCTGTCCCAACTGTTAAACACTCTACTTGACACATAAACACCGACTGTAGACTACAGACAGGTGTCCCAGCTGTTGAACACTCTCCTTGACACATAAACACCGACTATAGAACACAGACACGTGTCCCAGCTGTTCAACACTCTCCTTGACACATAGACACCGATTGTAGACTACAGAAACGTGTCCCAGCTGTTGAACACTCTCCTTGACACATAAACACCGGCTGTAGACTACAGACACGTGTCCCAGCTGTTGAACACTCTCCTTGACACATAAACACCGACCGTAGACTACAGACACGTGTCCCAGCTGTTGAACACTCTCCTTGACACATAAACAACGATTGTAGACTACAGAAACGTGTCCTAGCTGTTGAGCACTATCCTTGACACATAAACACCGACTGTAGACTACAGATACGTGACCCAGGTTTTTATAACCTCACTGACACATAAAAATCGACTGTAGATTAGACACGTGTCACAACTGTTAAACACTCTCCTTGACACTTAAACACTGACTGTAGATCATGGACACGTGTCCCAGCTGTTGAACACTCTCCTTCACACATAAACACCGACTGTAGACTATAGACACGTTTCCCCGACTAGACTACCGACACATTTCCCAGCTGTTGAACACTCTCCTTGACACATAAACACCGACTGTAGACTACAGACACGTGTCCCAGCTGTTGAACACTCTCCTTGACACATAAACACCGACTGTAGACTACAGACACGTGTCCCAGCTGTTGAACACTCTCCTTGACACATAAACACCGACTGTAGACCACAGACACATGTCCCAGCTGTTGAACACTCTCCTTGACACATAAACACCGACTGTAGACTACAGACACGTGTCCCAGCTGTTGAACACTCTCCTTGACACATAAACACCGACTGTAGACCACAGATACGTGTCCCAGCTGTTGAACACTCTCCTTGACACATAAACACCGACTGTAGACCACAGACACGTGTCCCAGCTGTTGAACACTCTCCTTGACACATAAACACTGACTATAGACCATGGACACGTGTCCCAGCTGTTGAACCTTCTCCTTGACACATAAACACCGACTGTAGACTACAGACACATGTCCCAGCTGTTGAACACTCTCCTTGACACATAAACACCGACTGTAGACTAGACACGTGTCCCGGCTGTTGAACACTCTCCTTGACACATAAACACCGACTGTAGACCACAGACACATGTCCCAGGTGTTGAACACTCTCCTTGACACATAAACACCGACTGTAAACTACAGGCACTTGCCCCAGCTTCATATAAACTAATTGACACATAAACACCGACTATAGACTAGACACGTGTCCCTGCTGTTTAACATTCTCCTTGACACATAAACACCGACTGTAGACCACAGACACCGTGTATCATGTGGCATTTGTCACATTTTCCTTGACACTTAACAACTGACTTTAGTCAACATGAACCGCGGATGGCAAATCTTCAAAGAAAGACATGAAACTAACCTTATCTGAAGTATGCGTAGCAAACGTTGATAAAGAGCAGGTCTCCTTCATCGGATAATGAGTGAGTGATGACCGTGAGTGTTTCAAAACACCGAGAACCAGGCGATAAATCACCATCTTCACCTGCAACAGAAATGTGCGTTTTGCAAGAGGTGTTCATAATATTTCCAAAGCGGCTATGTGGTTCCCGGGTAGGGTCAGAGAGCGTTTGAAAGCTGAATCTTTAACTCTGCATGACACCACGTTTGTTTTTGTTTTTCGTCTGTTTACCTGATTGGCACATTTGAGAAACATATTTCAAACATGAATACAGGATTGATAATAACTGTGTGTAATTTCATTGGCGTATGAACCTCCATAGAGCGAGGAACGAACAGTATGAACGTCGAAGCTTGTCTACGAGTTTGGCCCTCATTCTATGAAGGTTCAATGACCTTACTCAAAGTCAGTTCTTATAAGTGTTGTATCACTAGCTATTACCTGGTAGGATGTGTACACAATTCGGTAAGTGTGATCTACTGAACATTGACAGAAGAATAACGACCAACTGTATCGCTGAAAAGAATAGTTCCTCAAGACGAGTGAAAATATGAAAGTGTATATGCTTAAAATGTCCCCCAGTAATACCCGTTACAGTTTGGTTGCAATTGATACGAAAACTATCATCACTAGATGTCCATCTGTTATAACAACCACCCTATGTATTCAAATTGCTGAAAGGAGAATTTCCAAAATGTTGTAAATAAACGTGCGTTGAATTGGTGAATTGACCGATTATTATAAGTGATTACAACAAAATGACAAATAGGTGCTGAAGTCAATTCTTAGGTAACCGCAGAACGATGCTGTTGAAAGTCTCGGCGTGGTGTCCATCGTTTTACTGTGCATTATTTTGTACTGTTTTGTAGGATGTTTCCAAGTGGTCGTAATCAACGGTTGTTCATTTCCCCGGATTGTCCCTGGGAAGGACGAAGTGGTCCGCCTGTGTCTACGTCATTTCTACGTCAGTCTCGTGAAAACCATGTGAACGGCTTCACTCATTGCATCAATCTTGGGACGAGACCTCGGGGCAGTGAGCCAACGATTTACTCCATCTGTCCAAAAACAACCACCGCATCGAAGTGCACAGAATCCACCGCAGAATTGATATCACAGAAACAATCAGCGCATAGATATCACAGAAACATCCACTACATCGATATCACAGAAACATCCACTACATCGATATCAGACAAACAACCAGCGCATCGATATCACAGAAACAACCACTACATCGATATCACAGAAACAACCAGCGCATTGCTATCGCAGAAACAACCACCGCATCTAAATCACAGAAACAACCACTACATCGATATCACAGAAACAACCATAGCATCCATATCACAGAAACAACCACCGCATCGATATCACAGAAACAACCTCTAAATCGATATCACAGAAACAACCACTACATCGATATCACAGCAACAACCACTACATCGATATCACAGAAACAACCATCGCTTCGATATCACAGGAACAACCACCGCATTGATACGGACAGAAACAACCACTACATCATTATGTACAGAAACAACCATCGCATCGATATCACAGAAACATCAACTTCATTTATATAACAGAAAAAAATACCGTATCGATTTCGCAGAAACAACCACTACATCGATATCACAGAAACAACCACTACATCAATATCACAGAAACAACCACCGCATCGATATCACAGAAACAGCCACTACATCAATATGTACAGAAACAACCACTAAATCGATATCACAGAAACAACCAACGCATCGCTATCACAGAAACAACCACCGCATCGATATTACAGAAACAACCACTACATCGATATCACATAAACATCCACTACATCGATATCATAGAAACAACTACCGCATTCATACGTACAGAAACAACCTCTACATCGATATCACAGAAACAACCACCGCATCAATATTACAGGAACAACCTCTACATCGATATCACATAAACAACCACCGCATCAATATTACAGGAACAACCACTACATCGATATCAAAGAAACAACCACCGCATCAATATCACAGAAACAACCATAGCATCGATATTACAGCAACAAACACTACATCGATATCACAGGAACAACCACCACATCGATATCACAGAAACAACCACCGCATCGATATTACAGCAACAACCACTACATCGATATCACAGAAACAACCACTGCATCGATATCACAGGAACAGCCACTACATCGATATCATAGAAACAACTAGCGCATTGAAACGTACAGAAGCAACCACGACATCGATATCACAGAAACAACCACTACATCGATATCACAGAAACATCCACTACATCGATATCACAGAAACATCCACTTCATCGATATCATAGAAACAACCTCTACATCGATATCATAGAAAAAACTACCGCGTTGATACGAACAGAAACAACCTCTACATCAAAATGTACAGAAACAACCACTACATCGATATCGCAGAAACATCCACTACATCGATATCATAGAAACAACCACTGCATCGATATTATAGAAACAACCACTACATCGATATCACAGAAACATCCACTACATCGATATCATAGAAACAACTACGGCATTGATATTACAGAAACAACCACTACATCGATATCTACAGAAACAACCACCGCATCAATATTACAGGAACAACCTCTACATCGATATCACAGAAACAACCACCGCATCAATATTACAGGAACAACCTCTACATCGATATCAAAGGAACAACCACCGCATCAATATTACAGGAACAACCACTACATCGATATCACATAAACAACCACCACATCAATATCGCAGAAACAACCACCGCATCGATATTACAGCAACAACCACTACATCGATATCACAGGAACAACCACTACATGGATATCACAGAAACAACCACCGCATCGATATTACAGCAACATCCACTACAAAGATATCACAGAAACAACCACTGCATCAATATCACAGAAACAACCACCGCATCGATATTACAGCAACAACCACTACATCGATATCACAGGAACAACCACTACATAGATATCACAGAAACAACCACTGCATCTATATCACAGGAACAGCCACTACATCGATATCATAGAAACAACTAGCGCATTGATATGTACAGAAGCAACCACGACATCGATATCACAGAAACAACCACTACATCGATATCACAGAAACATCCACTACATCGATATCACAGAAACATCCACTACATCGATATCATAGAAACAACCATTTCATCGATATCATAGAAACAACTACCGCATTGATACGTACAGAAACAACCTCTACATCGATATGTACAGAAACAACCACTACATCGATATCGCAGAAACATCCACTACATCGATATGTACAGAAACATCCACCGCATCGATATCACAGAAACATCCACTACATACGTACAGAAACAACCTCTACATCGATATCACAGAAACATCCACTACATCAATATCATAGAAACAACTAGCGCATTGATACGTACATAAACAACCACTACATCGATATGTACAGAAACAACCACTACATCGATATCACAGGAACAACCACTACATCGATATCATAGGAACAACTACCGCATTGATATGTACAGAAACAACCACTACATCGATATCACAGAAACATCCACTACATCGATATCATAGGAACTACTGCATTGATATGCACAGAAACAACCACTACATCGATATCACAGAAACATCCACTACATTGATATCATAGAAACAACTAGCGCATTGATACGTACAGAAACAACCTCTACATCGATATGTACAGAAACAACCACTGCATCGATATCACAGGAACAACCACAACATCGATATCATAGGAACAACTACCGCATTGACATACAGAAAAAACCTCTACATCGATATGTACAGAAACAACCACTACATCGATATCACAGAAACATCCACTACATCGATATCATAGAAACAACTACTGCATTGATACGTACAGAAACAACCACTACATCGATATCACAGAAACAACCACTACATCGATATCACAGAAACATCCACTACATCGATATCATAGAAACAACTACTGCATTGATAAGTACAGAAACAACCTCTACATCGATATGTACAGAAACAACCACTACATCGATATCACAGGAACAACCACTACATCGATATCATAGGAACAACTAGCGCATTGATATGTACAGAAACAACCACTACATCGATATCATAGAAACAACTACCGGATTGATACGTACAGAAACAACCACTACGTCGATATGTACAGAAACAGCCAATACGTTGATATCATAGAAACAACTAGCGAATTGATACGTACAGAAACAATCTCTACATCGACATCATAGAAACAACCTCTACATCGATACGTACAGAAACAACCTCTACATTGCTATGTACAGAAACAACCTCTACATTGATACGTACAGACACAACCTCTACATTGATACGTACAGAAACAACCTCTACATCGATACGTACAGACACAACCTCTACATTGCTACGTACAGGAACAACCTCTACATTGCTACGTACAGAAACAACCTCTACATTGAAACGTACAGAAACAACCTCTACATTGATACGTACAGAAACAACCTCTACATTGCTACGTACAGGAACAACCTCTACATTGCTACGTACAGGAACAACCTCTACATTGCTACGTACAGGAACAACCTCTACATTGCTACGTACAGAAACAACCTCTACATTGAAACGTACAGAAACAACCTCTACATTGATACGTACAGAAACAACCTCTACATTGCTACGTACAGGATCAACCTCTACATTGCTACGTACAGAAACAACCTCTACCTTGATACGTACAGAAACAACCTCTACATTGATACGTACAGAAACAACATCTACATTGATACGTACAGAAACAACCTCTACATTGATACGTACAGAAAAAACCTCTACATTGCTATGTACAGAAACAACTTCTACATTGCTACGTATAGGAACAACCTCTACATCGATTCGTACAGAAAAAAATTCTACATCGATACGTACAGAAACAACCTCTACATTGATACGTACAGAAACAAACTCTACATCGATACGTACAGAAACAACCTCTACATTGATACGTACAGAAACAACCTCTACATTGCTACGTACAGAAACAACCTCTACATTGATACGTACAGGTACAACCTCTACATTGATACGTACAGAAACAACCTCTACATTGATACGTACAGACACAACCTCTACATTGCTATGTACAGAAACAAACTCTACATTGATACGTACAAAAACAAACTCTACATTGATACGTACAGAAACAACCTCTACATTGATACGTACAGAAACAACCTCTACATTGATACGTACAGAAACAACCTCTACATCGATACGTACAGAAACAACCTCTACATTGCTACGTACAGGAACAACCTCTACATTGCTACGTACAGGAACAACCTCTACATTGATACGTACAGAAACAACCTCTACATCGATACGTACAGAAACAACCTCTACATTGCTACGTACAGAAACAACCTCTACATTGCTACGTACAGGACCAACCTCTACATTGATACGTACAGAAACAACCTCTACCTTGATACGTACAGAAACAACCTCTACATTGATACGTACAGAAACAACATCTACATTGATACGTACAGAAACAACCTCTACATTGATACGTACAGAAAAAAACCTCTACATTGCTATGTACAGAAACAACCTCTACATTGCTACGTACAGAAACAAACTCTACATCGATACGTACAGAAACAACCTCTACATTGCTACGTACAGAAACAAACTCTACATCGATACGTACAGAAACAACCTCTACATTGCTACGTACAGAAACAAACTCTACATCGATACGTACAGAAACAAACTCTACATCGATACGTACAGAAACAACCTCTACATTGCTACGTACAGAAACAACCTCTACATTGATACGTACAGAAACAACCTCTACATCGATACGTACAGAAACAACCTCTACATTGCTACGTACAGAAACAACCTCTACATTGCTACGTACAGGACCAACCTCTACATTGATACGTACAGAAACAACCTCTACCTTGATACGTACAGAAACAACCTCTACATTGATACGTACAGAAACAACATCTACATTGCTACGTACAGAAACAACCTCTACATTGATACGTACAGGACCAACCTCTACATTGATACGTACAGAAACAACCTCTACCTTGATACGTACAGAAACAACCTCTACATTGATACGTACAGAAACAACCTCTACATTGATACGTACAGAAACAACCTCTACATTGATACGTACAGAAACAACCTCTACATTGCTACGTACAGAAACAACCTCTACATTGCTACGTACAGGACCAACCTCTACATTGATACGTACAGAAACAACCTCTACCTTGATACGTACAGAAACAACCTCTACATTGATACGTACAGAAACAACATCTACATTGATACGTACAGAAACAACCTCTACATTGATACGTACAGAAACAACCTCTACATTGCTACGTACAGGACCAACCTCTACATTGATACGTACAGAAACAACCTCTACCTTGATACGTACAGAAACAACCTCTACATTGCTACGTACAGAAACAAACTCTACATCGATACGTACAGAAACAACCTCTACATTGCTACGTACAGAAACAAACTCTACATCGATACGTACAGAAACAAACTCTACATCGATACGTACAGAAACAACCTCTACATTGCTACGTACAGAAACAACCTCTACATTGATACGTACAGAAACAACCTCTACATCGATACGTACAGAAACAACCTCTACATTGCTACGTACAGAAACAACCTCTACATTGCTACGTACAGGACCAACCTCTACATTGATACGTACAGAAACAACCTCTACCTTGATACGTACAGAAACAACCTCTACATTGATACGTACAGAAACAACATCTACCTTGATACGTACAGAAACAACCTCTACATTGATACGTACAGAAAAAAACCTCTACATTGCTATGTACAGAAACAACCTCTACATTGCTACGTACAGAAACAAACTCTACATCGATTCGTACAGAAAAAAATTCTACATCGATACGTACAGAAACAACCTCTACATTGATACGTACAGAAACAACCTCTACATTGATACGTACAGAAACAACCTCTACATTGATACGTACAGAAACAACCTCTACATTGCTACGTACAGAAACAACCTCTACATTGCTACGTACAGGACCAACCTCTACATTGATACGTACAGAAACAACCTCTACCTTGATACGTACAGAAACAACCTCTACATTGATACGTACAGAAACAACATCTACATTGATACGTACAGAAACAACCTCTACATTGATACGTACAGAAACAACCTCTACATTGCTACGTACAGGACCAACCTCTACATTGATACGTACAGAAACAACCTCTACCTTGATACGTACAGAAACAACCTCTACATTGCTACGTACAGAAACAAACTCTACATCGATACGTACAGAAACAACCTCTACATTGCTACGTACAGAAACAAACTCTACATCGATACGTACAGAAACAAACTCTACATCGATACGTACAGAAACAACCTCTACATTGCTACGTACAGAAACAACCTCTACATTGATACGTACAGAAACAACCTCTACATCGATACGTACAGAAACAACCTCTACATTGCTACGTACAGAAACAACCTCTACATTGCTACGTACAGGACCAACCTCTACATTGATACGTACAGAAACAACCTCTACCTTGATACGTACAGAAACAACCTCTACATTGATACGTACAGAAACAACATCTACCTTGATACGTACAGAAACAACCTCTACATTGATACGTACAGAAAAAACCTCTACATTGCTATGTACAGAAACAACCTCTACATTGCTACGTACAGAAACAAACTCTACATCGATACGTACAGAAACAACCTCTACATTGCTACGTACAGAAACAAACTCTACATCGATTCGTACAGAAAAAAATTCTACATCGATACGTACAGAAACAACCTCTACATTGATACGTACAGAAACAACCTCTACATTGATACGTACAGAAACAACCTCTACATTGATACGTACAGAAACAACCTCTACATTGATACGTACAGACACAACCTCTACATTGCTATGTACAGAAACAAACTCTACATTGATACGTACAGAAACAAACTCTACATTGATACGTACAGAAACAACCTCTACATTGATACGTACAGAAACAACCTCTACATTGATACGTACAGAAACAACCTCTACATCGATACGTACAGAAACAACCTCTACATTGCTACGTACAGGAACAACCTCTACATTGCTACGTACAGACACAACCTCTACATTGATACGTACAGAAACAAACTCGTTGTTTTGCTTCCGTTTTCTTGTTTCTTGTTGCATTAATTTCCTCGCAGATTATCATTGGAAATTGCTCTGCGCTATGACATGCGCTATGAAATGCGCTATGACATGCGCTTTCAATATAAGCCTATTTAGTCGAAGAATTATCTTTGAGATACGAGGAATAATTAAACATAAGATGTTTCAATAACACCAACCGTTCTTGCACGACGTTCGGTGTTGCTTCATACAACGTGTTGCTGTGCTTGTGTCTCCATCCCCGAGTACAAACCGCGAATATCCCATCACGTCACGTCGCGTGATGGTCTGAACAACTCTAATCGCTTGCAGCATACTAATTACATGTTCTGATAACAACAAGTGTTTCCTACATGAGGCCAAGTGCTATGGCGTATTGATAACAGCCATCGTTCTGCGTGTCGCACGTTATCATATTGCTGAGCGTGAATAAAAAATCTGAGTTCTTGTGGCTTCATGACCCGGTTCTTAACAAAGAGGACTTCCAGGGTTCTTAGTCAGAATGAGCAAGGTGAATATCAGTTCTAGAGTGTGTGTTTGTTTCGTTTTAAGCATGTTTTGTTCACAGTATTTAGTGAAATGAATTGAGTACATTGTCCATCGAGCGCATTCTCCATACTATTTACAACATCCAATTACAATATGTACAATAGGCAGAAAGAGGGGATAGAGATGGAGAATAGAATCATTAAGATGTGATGCATGTACGTTATTGGTACGTAGTGCATCTTTTTGTTTGATAGATAAACAACTAAACATTATGAGATGTATACAATCATTTCTACTTACTGACAGAAGCTTTGCCATACAAAACTAACTTGATATCAAACCGAGATCTGGTCACAGCTATATTATTCAAATATATTGTTGACAAATCATTTCGATGGCGAGAATACAAATTGCATTTTTAAAAAGTAATGAAATAAGTTTTCACATTGATCGATCCCCACAGTAACAATTTGAATTCTAAAAATGCCTATTCGGTATAAATCATTATTTAATTGGCTGGTCATACATCTTAGCTCAGTTTTAAATTCCATCTGCCAAATGAAAAGTATTTTGGAGCAATAGAATTTTCTTTCTTAAAAGTTGACCTGAACATTGACAAAGGTTTGGAGTTTCTCTCAAGTCGTGCAATATTATTCCAAGGAAAAATGTTTCATGAGAACATCTGAATGTTGTAACTGAAGTTGAAAGTTATCAGCACTTCGAAGAGAATACGTGTTCTCTTTGATCCAGCACAGCTCGGTATGAGGTTTTTAATATAAGAGTGTGCTATATCATTGTATTCTTCGTAAATATAAAACGACAACGCAAGAAAATAACCAGTATCGTCTACCCAACGAAACAGACTCATCGCCGTGCTTGCACAGATTGACGTGCGTGACTATCAAGCGTGATCTACGCCACCCCGCACATGACCCCCTCTGTGATTTGAGGCAATAATGAAAAAGCGGCACAAAACCATACTCACTTTTATATATGATGGAAGATGGTATCTGTTGACATTTCCACGACATGAACAGATTTACCTTGTTACATGTAACAGAACATAGTGCATTACAAACTACCTCAATATCCTGGTATACAGTATGCGAAAAGGCGTTCTGGTCCCACCACACTGGCTGGAAGTTAATGTCTTGTGCTGTAATGCTACACTGAAATCAAACTGATCTATTCCTGTCGGCAATTTCAAGAACGTCGCCAGTCCAGCATGAAATGAACATGGCAAGTAATTCTCGGGAAATTACTTTACAAGTTCTCCAATTATGGAAATTGATGATCCGATAAGGTTACAAACATTCCTGTCTCTCACTCGCTTATGAGACCGCGGCGAAATATTCGTATCGCAGGTTATATTGAAACTGCAACCAAATTTGTCTCCAGTATAATCATGTTAACGTAAGAACGTTCTGATAAAATTCGCTCCAAAATATTACCACCTTTCTATTTTGGGCCCAGTTACTTGCTTACAATATAGTGCGCGTTTATGTGTCATATATCCATCATATAGAAAGTTATAAACTACGGGCAGGTATCTAAGCGTTATCTAGCTACACAATAAACATCATGGTCGATATTGAAACTACTTATAATTGTCAACATTAGATAAATCCTACTCCTGCACATTACGAACCGGTAATGATGCATACAGCGACATGCATAAGGAGAAAGTTTGTGATTAGCTGTCTTAGTGGCTACTAGTTTAGAATATAATTATGAGAATTTATGGATGTCAACTTCCTTATTATGAGGAACACAATGTTTCGGAGTATATACTTACTACTTCATCAGGTGAATAAATGCTATGAAACAGAGAACATATTTATGTACCTGTAAGAACAACAACAGACATAAGATAACAAAGGTGGAAACTTAACTGGGAAAGCCAACAGCTTATACTTGCTTGTTCTTAAGCCGACTGTGGCACTGGTGTATGAAGGCTGGCAGCTACATCGATAGCAAGGCCAACATGGCAGACCAACAACAGAACGACCCATAGGCAGACGCTCACGTGGCTGGGCTGCATGCGTGATCACGTGGACATTGGGTGGACAACACCAGCAAGTACCGGCGGTACTTAATAAACTAATGTCAGTTTTTGATTGGGACTTTATTCAAAGTCCTAACTATGTTTTCTTAAATATTTGCATGTCATTTGATATCTGACCACTCGAGCTCCGGGAGTATGTGTCTTTCAAAAACACATTATAATGTAAAACTAAAATCAGCTCCAATCCAAAACATGAAGAGAATGGACAGAAGGAGAACTTCATGCTGTGTTGTGGATGAAATCCAGTTATAATTGATGGGATATGCGAAGTTGCCTCGTCGACAGGAAATACTTCAATCTCTCTGTATACACCCAATAAAGATCGGTTTGTGTAAACGACTGTTTAATTTCTTCTCAGAGGAAACAAGTCTGGTCTTGTCAAAGCTCTGACTATGTGGATAATGGATAGAGCAAACGTATACTAGATCAAATGATGTTCAGCATGCAAACTGATAAAACAAACCACTAAGAAACTGTAACACTTTAAGACCTTATGCAGTTAAAGTTCGTAACGTTTGTTGGTTTAGTTGCTTATAAAGTTTAACCTTATACATGAACCCATCGCTTTCGAGTTGCATATTAACCCCGCTTGGGGCTCTACATTAAGGGTATAAAAGAAGTACGAGTCGGCACGGAGTCAGTATACAGTGGCTGTTAACCTGCGGCATGGTATCGCAATGTGCTAGCACTATAAAACACACACACACACACACACACACACACACACACACACACACACACACACATAGTCTATCGAGGCGTAAGATTAAGGTCTCTAAAATCGTTCTTTCTCTTGCACTCATTTCCTGAAACTGATCTTTCTTCTGACGATCGATCGTAACATTTATATTTCATGATCCCCTGTTGTTTGGGCTGGTATAAGTATATCACACAACAGACTCACGTTTCGTTACGGTCAAAGCCGAGTTATGTATTTTCATAATATATACTGAACCAAATTAAAAACTTCACAATCCTACAATTTTAACATTTTCACCAGTTATCATTGTGGGCCCTTATTGTGTATTTAAACAGTAATGGCCACGTATTGTCTTCAGATAATACCCGTTTTTGTGCAGGTGAATCGATCAAAATCATGTGCACAGCACTATAGTGGCAAAAGTGTTTTTTCACGTGCAACTGGTCACGTGGCCATAATACCGCACGTGTTTTCAGCCATACTTGTTAGCAGTCATTAACAAAAAAAGAAAAACACAAGAAAACAAAAGTCTTTACGGCCATTTGTCATGCCACGCCTTTCAAATGTGCAACGTGAACGTGCCATCGGCATGTTGCAGACGGAAACGTCCGTAGCTGAAGTCGCAAGGACGATGGGTTATAGTCGACGGACTGTTTATGATTTACAGACGCGTCTTCAGCAAACGGGTACCACCGCTGATCGCCCTCGGCAAGGTCGACCACGTGTGACGTCACATGCAGAGGATCGTCAGATTGTCTTACGTCACCTCAGTAACCGATTTTTGACAGCTACATCAACTAGAAATGAACTGTTAAGGGGTAGACTGAGTGCGCAAACTGTTCGAAACCGTCTGAGAACCGCTCACCTTCAAGCACGACGGCCATACTGCGGGCCGATTCTGACTCAATTACACAGACGTCAACGTCAATTGTGGGCACAGCGACACTTACGATGGACTCAGGGGAATTGGAATCAAGTCTTCGGTGATGAATCCCTATTCAATCTTCGATTTGCGGATGGTAGGGCGAGGGTGCGGAGGCGCCGTCATGAACGTTACGCCCAGTGTTGTGCACAGGAAGTTGACAGATTTCGAGGCGGAAGTGTCATGGTGTGGGGTGCTTTCTGTGGCAATGCACGTTCCAGGATTCTTGTCATCCGTGGCAACCTCAACACTGCTGCTTACCGCGACCAGGTACTTTTATGGCAGCACATTGACCCGGTTTGATCTTCCAACACGACAATGCCAGACCCCACACTGCAATTTTGACAAGGAATTTCCTTCAGAATGCGGGAGTCAACGTCATGGACTGGCCGTCAAGGTCTCCCGACCGCAAGCCCATCGAACACGTCTGGGATGCTCTTGGCAGAAGTCTGCGCACTCTCCAGAACCAACCACAGAATTTGCAAGATCTTGTCACCATTTTGCAGCAACAATGGCGTCGTCTTCCCAATCATGTGTTCACAAGCATCACAAGGTCCATGCGGAGGCGTTGTGTGGCAGTTGTCAACGCACATGGTGGCCATACACGCTACTGAACTTGTGTGCCATCAGATTCTCGTGCTTGGGACTTATGATTTAAACTGTTGATGTTATTACCGTATACCGTAGGTGCTTGGAACAAATTATGGTTACCACCGTTAATTAAAATCCTTCTTTGGACATTAATGATTAAAAATTACCTTCTCTGATACATTTGTCCGTTGTATATCATAAATGGGATTACTTTTAAAAATGTGAAGTTTTTAATTAGACTCAGTTTATGTCAAAGGTTGCCATATGAAACACCATCAACAATTTTTTTAGCAAAGAAATCATATTTACCTCTTGATTGTTTGTTTAAGGCATTAGACCACATGATTCATCCAATAATGCAATATATGTTGAACGGAAAAAGAAACGTCATCGTGGATAGATATATGAGAGACCTTATTTGTCCAAACACTGTAAACATACTTTGAGACATATTAAAAAGATGAAACTTTGCAAAACTGATCATCAAGGTTGAAATTAAAGTGTCAAATGTTCTTAAAGTGAAACACAACACTTGTCTCTAAGAAAATTGCATCACAAGTCAGTATCTCGTGTGTCCGCCATGTGCATTTATTACTGCCGTGCAACGTCGATACATGGAATGGATGAGGCGGTTGATGAAGGCCATAGGCACTTGAGCCCACACTCTGAGGAACGCCTGACGCAGTTCAGCTGCAGTTGTAGGCCGTGGTCGGACGTCATTCAGCCGTCTTTGAATCTCGTCCCACACGTGCTAAATGGGATTTAAATCGGGACTGAGGGCAGGCCACTGCATGGTTCTGATGCCATTCTGCTGGAGGAAGTCTCTTGTTGCTCTCGCAGTGTGGGCACGGGCGTTATCATGCTGAAACTCGTGGTTGTGCCGACGTGCCAAATGATGTATGGCGTGTGGTCTCAAGACTTGATCAATGTACCGAGCTGCTGTAACACCATTCCTTCTTCCTGGACCGATGTTCTGGAAGACCACAGGGCCGACCCTCTGTGCAAGACCAATTCCATCCCCCACAATGATGCTCGGACCACTCTCAACAACACAAGCATCCGAAAAACGTTCCCCACGGCGTCGCAAGACTCTCTCTCTCTCTCTCTCTCTCTCTCTCTCTCTCTCTCTCTCTCTCTCTCTCTCTCTCTCTCTCTCTCTCTCTCTCTCTCTCTCTCTCTGCCACCTACAGTAACAGCTCTCGTCTGAGAAGAGGACCCTTCTCCACTGTGGTGTCAATGCTGGTTGCTGGTGCTGTGTTGCCCACTGAAGACGGTCCCGGCGATGACGTGGGGTCAGAATGGATCGTCGGTGTGGCCTGTGACAGTGGAGGTGTCTGCTCGTCAATTGTCGACGCACGGTGTCAGCACTCATGTGTCGCTGGTGTGTCCCCATGGTCTGTCGAGCAGTGTCCGCAGCAGTAACAAAGCGATCTTGAAGATGCTGTCGCACAATCTGACGATCCTGACGTCATTTGGTGACCCTTGGTCTTCCACTACGTGGGCGGTCATCTGTAGTGTTGGTGGTGTGGTACCGTTGCTGGAGCCTGAATATGGCCCTTACGTGGCCTTGAAATACATTGGCTACTTGCTGGGCGGTTTGTCGAGCTTGCAATCATCCAAGGGCTTGGTGTCGCTGATTTCTTGTCAATCTTGGCATGAGGTAGCAATTCAATAACGAAATAATGTTATCCGATCTGGGTGGATTTTTATAGGGCAAGAAATGGGGGAAGCCATGTGCATTTCAATTTGCACGGAACTCACGTGCATCGGGTTAGCATGGCCATTGCCGTGATGCGTTTGTGCGATCGGTTTTATTGGCATCTGCTTTGGGTTTGTTAGATTTTAGAAACTTTGACAAAAAATACCGAGATGTTTTAATGACAACTTTTCATGCAATGTTACTTGGGGTGACGGTTCTTTTGCGGTTCAGTATAGTTGCGAAGTGTGGGAAAATGTCAATATCACTCATTTAGAAATGGTTCATAAGGAGTTTATAAAATTAGCAACACAGTTAAGAAATCGTACACCCGCTATATGCTCTATTGGGGAAAAGTGAGTGAGTGAGTGAGTGTGGTTTTACGCCGCTTTTAGCAATATTCCAGCAATATCACGGCGGGGGACACCAGAAATGGGCTTCACACATTGTACCCATGTCGGGATTCGAACCCGAGTCTTCGGCGTGACGAGCGAACGCTTTAACCACTAGGCTACCCGACCGCCCCTATTGGGGAAAAGGACGCTTTCCTTTGGACATGGAGATAAAGAAACGAGTTTAATCATATTGGTGTAAAATATTAACTTCCGAAAAACCAAAATAATTTAACTCTTATTGGATATCAATCTTTATTTTTGTAAAATATACACAACCAGTATAAACAACCCTGGATTGCATTTGTTAAAACATTCTTGATGAATGTGGCTTATATATATGTGGCATATATTTGGACTAACCAAGTTGTACCTAATAAAAATGGTTGCTCTCTGTTGTAGAACTGACATTAAAAGAAGACTTTTCACAAAGTTGGCATCATGATTTATCTTTATCTTCAAAAGGAAAGGTATTTTCTTGAATTAAACCTGTTTTATCCTTTGAAAATTATATATTATTACCAGTAAAATATTCTAACTTATATTACAATTTCGTACAAGTAATACTATTTTGCCCCTGGAAAAGGGTTGTTGGCAGAATGTTCCTTTCACTGACAGACTCTGCCAGATCTGGGACTCGGTTGTCAT